TCTACCACTTGAGCCACAGCGCCACTTCCGGCTTTTTTTCTTTTTGCTTATGTGGTGCTGAGGAATCAAACCCAGGGCCTTGAGCATGCAAGGCAAGCACTCTACCACTGAGCCACCTTCCCAGCCCTAAAGTTTGTTTTTCTACGTAACGACTTGTACATCTCATTGTTGCAATGGATCCACCTGTATCCCTATTTAAAAGATTTGTTTTTTCCCTTCCCTTCCACAAATAATACCAACCTCAAATACAGTGAAAGCAGAACTTATACCATGGGGGAGAGACATACAAAGCAACAAAGAAATAAAAGAATTGTAGTCTTGATGAGCTTTCTTGCTCATAGCTGGCAAAATTGTAGGAGTGAGCCACTGGCTCCCGGATTGATCGAGCTTTCTAATTTCCCTAACTAAGCAGCTGAAATCCTTACCATTCTGGATGTAAAGAGCCTAGTTTTAACCTCTAAAACAAAACCAACATAAGTTGGTTTTTTGTTTTTGTTTTTTGCTGGTCCTGGAGCTTGAACTCTGGTCCTGGGTGCTATCCTTGAGGTTTTTTAGCTCAAGGCTAGAGCTCTACTACTTCAACCACGGGGCACCACTTCCAGCTTTTTCTGAGTAATTCTTTCCTGCCTGGGCTGGCTTCCAACTGCAATCCTCAGATCTCAGTCTCCTGAGCAGTTAGGATGACAGGCATGAGCTACCAGCACCCAGCTCCCGCTTAAGTTTTTGTTTACATCTTTCTAGTCAAACTTACTGATAACAATAACAAGGGAAATTAGTTTTACCTACCTTTTTTTTTCTACTAAAGGCTTTTAATTTTCCTCTATTCTTTTGTATAAAAGCCCAGACTTTGTATTCTTTACTTGATGCTTTGAAGGAACTCTTTATAACACATGCCATATATATGAAGTGTATTGCCTGAAAACAAAAAATGAAATATTTTCATTGAGACATACCATTCCTACATGTTAAGTATTCCTTTTAGTTCATATCCTCATTATTTCCCTGCTTATTATTTCAGATATTGGTAGTACTTGATGCATTAGCCATCTTTCTGATTTGAAATTTCTCTCTATATAATTTGTAAGTTGCCTCAATAAAGTGTAGTAATTTTAAAGTAGTATGAACACTTCATTCAGTCTTTAGACTTTTTACTATCATCTTATAAAAATTTGTTCTAACTTTAACCTTAATTTGTGTTGTTTTGGTTACTCATTTGTTCATTCATGTTATTTGATCATTTTATTCATGGTATTATTTCCATGCACAATTGAATTAAAACTAGAAAATGTGAGTTTGAAAGAAACACCAGGGGGACTGGGAAGGTAGCTCAGTGGTAGAGTGCTTGCCTTGCATGCATGAGACCCTGGGTTCCATTCCTTAGCACCACATAAGCAGAATAAGCCGGAAGTGGTGCTGTGGCTCAAGTGGTAGTACCCAGGCCCAGAGTTCAGCCCCACAACAGAAAGAGAGGGACAGACAGACCGACCGACCGACCAGGATAACAGAAATTGAAGAGACTACTATTACTGCCATGAGACTTTTTTTTTGGCTTGAACTCAGGCCCTGTGCTATTTTGCTCAAGGCTAGCACTCTTAACACTTCACCTATAGCTCCACTTTCTGTTTTTTGGTAGTTAATTGGAGATAAGACTCTAGGATTACAGGTATGAGTTATGGGCCTCCAACTTTTTAAGGTTGTTACTATTTCTATTCAATTTCTTAGAGTGGCATTCAGAATCTTAGAGTTTGGCTTCACCCCCTCTTTCTAGTATAGTCTTCCATTTCCTTACATAACTACTGGTTCTGTTTTATTTTGTCTTTATGTTGTAGCCATTTCTCTTTGGCTTTATCATGTTGTCCCCTCAGATACTGCCTTCTTCTACTCCTTATAGAAAGCCTGAATGTACTTCAGGAATCATGTGAAGTAGGTTCACATGAATTCAGGGTCTGGGTGCTATCCTCAGCTTTTTTGCTTAAGACTAACACTCTGCCACTTGAGCTACAGCTTCA